TAAAGTCTGTTTGTAATTTATATTGTCTATGAAGTGTTTTTCGGAGATGTTTGCTTGTGAATCCCGATTGAGGCGTTCTCTTTAACCCGTTCTCTCTTTTGTTGGTCCTAAGGGACAATGGGAGGCTTCGGGGAGGCTGACCTTTGCGGATGGACACGCAAGGGTGCCGCACGACTTAGGCAAATCCAGTTAAGTCCGTGACAGTCCGCTACTCTAAGTTGTTGAGGGATTGGAGATGGCTCTAGCGGAGTGGTGGTAGGGGTCGATGGGTCCCTTACCTATAACGACGGTTGAGGCAATGCCGACTGCTAGGCAAGCTGAGGGACAAGGGGGAAAATAGCCTGCGTCATCCCTGCTAAAGTTTGGACTTAGTGCATGAGACTAAGGAATGCCTCGACTGAGACAATAGACTGCCCTATGGTGGTCCCGGGAGGCGATAGCTCGGAATCATTGAACAACCACCAATAGCTGCTTGGAGTCACGATCAAGGTATTCTCTTCTAGTCTCGAAGGAAGCGGGGGCTATCCTTTGAACCCGAAGGTCATGTGAGTTAGGGTGGTTCTTCTCCGAGACACTCTCCTGGGTTGCTCAGTTGGGGGCATTCTTGCAACATCGAGCCCTCTTTTTAGTGCCAAAATATTGGTAAACCTTTATGCCGTGGCTAAGGTGTCAGCACAACTTGGTTGGATCTCGGATGCGTAAGGTTTGCCCATGCGGATGCTTGGGTAGTGGAAGTGAATGTCGGGTCGGGTTGAGTTCGAGCCTCATCTCCCATGCACGGATACCTCTCTTACCGAGTTGTTTGCTTCTCCTTTGCAGGGCTCCTGCATATAAGCCGAAGTGGGGAGGGGGATTTCTCGGTTTTCCCCCTTCAAAGGCTAAGTTAGAGTTGAGTAGAATAAAAGAGAGTTGAATATTCAACCCTCCTACATTGGTCAGGAGGTTATCTTTTATACTTATGAGAGGGGAGAGGGTCATACATGGTCCCATAATAGCTGCCATCTCCTCGAGAGGATGGTATATACCCTGCGGTTGAGCACCAATTGACTCATACGGGTCGATGTCGTTCTGAGTTTTGTAGATATCTCCATGGTGTTCGGCGTTGGACAGGATGGCTTTATCCAACGGACGACTGCCAACTGACCCATACGGGTCGACATCGCATGACGCCATTATGAGATTTACAAAAATGGATCTATGGTATTCGACGCTAAACAATGCAGAGGTCATCTGGTTATCTTGTTCGGGTCCGAGGTGTCGCACTACGTCAACCTAGAGGTCCTTTGTTTGCTGCCACATGGATTTATTAGATTCAATGCTTGTTCATCGACATGTGTCACGGAATTCACCAAGTAGACCAAGGAATAAACTCTTGACTTGATTATTGTGCTTCAAGATTATGTTCTTATTGGAAACTAAACTTCCAATAAGATTTATAATTCAAATTGATTATGGTTAATATATATTAAGTAGACATCAATTCAACCTAGAATTTTAAGGAATCAAGTTATGAGTTAGACTCTCTCAATATTGACCAATGTGGGATTATTATTTTAATCTTCTTTTCAATCTTTTCTCAAATATTTTTAGCATTCTTTCCCTATACTTATGTTTGGTATGGACAAAGTTATACTGATCAAAGTTAAGAGTCAATCATCGATTCAACCCAAAAGCTTAACATTTATTTTGTAGACTAAACTCAAATATATGTTGACATTTACTAACGTGGGATTATTCTTTTAGTCCTCTTTTCAATCTCGTCACATGTGATAGTAAAAGATACAACCAACGTGAGACTATTTTGACTTAATTTTTTTCAATCTAAAAGCTTGAATATTCCACACTATAAATTATGACTCTTGAGACTATGTTGATACTCTTTTATCATTTTATGTTGTTTATCAAATCACTAAAAAAATTAATGAGGATGAATAATAACATAATATTGATGAACTCCGATATGATATTAATGTCGATTGCTAATGATCTTGTAAAACAATCACAATCGATAGTTCTAAGAAGATCTTAAAGGAAATAAGACCTGTTATTATATGGTTCATATTGTACATCTAAAAAAAATCATATTATAACATAGGAATTAAAAGGGTTCCTTATTATTTTCACAAGTTATAAAAACTAATGATTATAAAAAATAATATAATATAATAAAAGAAGAGTTGGGATGAATAGACCACAATAGTATTTGAGAAACTCATCAAATTGCACAATAATTATAAAAGCGTTTGTTTTGATTGAACGGGTAATATCAAATGATATAAAAGTCTAACTTATGATCAAGGATTTTACTCATAAAGAATGTATCAATCATAACAAGATAATTTATGTAATTTTTTAAATAAACTTGTTAAGAATCGTCATGACAGTAATGACTCATTATGATTTTATGCTAAATCGGATAGATGTAAAAGTCACTTTTGAATAAGAATCTCGGGAAGAAGATTTATATAGATTAACTTAAATGATTCACAGAGAAATTTTCTTTTTGATATGTAAATTTAAAAAATCTATTTATGACCATAAATACACTTATAGACAATAATATATAAAGTTTCTTGATATCATCACTTCCTTCATATCTAAAAAAAAATGATGTCGATCACCATTTATATCTAAAAATTAATGGGAGCAAGCTTATTATATTGATCATATATATAAATAATATTTTGCTTGTATGTCATGATGTTGGTTTATTATATGAAACTAAAAAATTTCTCATCAAGAATTTTAAGATAATTGATATGAATAAGATATTTGATGTTATTGGTATTGATATATTTAGAGATATATCTCAAGAATTATTAAAAATGTTTCAAAAATTATATATTAGATGAGCCTTAAAGAGATTTAGTATACAACTTTATTTAATAAATAACAAAAGTAAAAAAATTCAATCAAAATAAATATTTTTAAAAAATAACTTAAAAAATCATATAAAGAAAAATATTTCTAATGTATATACACAATTAAAAGTCTACTATATGTTCAAGCCTATACTAAATTAGATATGAATTCTATAGTTGAAATATTGGATAGTTATTAGAGTTACCCAAAAATAAAACACTAAAAAATTATAAAAAATAATAATATATATAAAAGAAAAGAAAGATATATACTCAATTAGTAAATATACCACTATGAATGATACATTATATATTGATATTGTGATGATGTCCCAAATATATTTAACAAAAGATCGAGGATTTAAAATTTTAATTGAGGCATTCTGAATGTATCGGTTAATTTAATTGATAAATATTTTGATTCATAAAGTTTCAGGCTCAAATCCCATATTTATTATTTATTTTTTTAAAAAATAAGTAAACATTGATCGGTCACATCTATTCATCATACCTTTTGTTCTTTTTAAGAGATAGGCTTGCAGCATGCATTACTTATGCAGTTATATGTAAATGTCCTTCTGTCATACCATCTTCCATTACCATGATTCAATGGTGAAAAATAGTTCGGATGTTCTTCGGATTATATGTAAAACAAAGCCTCAGGATTTATCTAAACAGCTCTTGAGTCGATCTCAAACTTTTTGGTCATCAATTTCGAGAGACTTGGTATGGGTCATCACAAGATAGTTCTTTTGCTAACATCATACTGTCGTCCATGTGCCAACATGGATCGGTTCTGCCAAGATCCACTATATCAAATGTAGATAAATAGAATCTACAAGAATGCATCGTAGTGCATGCAAAGTTTATAGTCTTAACCTATTGTTCCAAATGTATCTAACGACGAATAAGGAACGGTGTTGGCTAATGCAACCAACAAAAAAAAAAAGATATAAAATTTTCAACCATTCCCATTGTTTGATGGGTGATATGTCCTCCTTGAAAGATGCCCACAACATTTTGGTTTAGCCAGCTTTAGAGTTGGTACTTAGGGGACATTCTATCACTGCTGGAGGAATTTGATTAAGTTATCCTTAAATCTCAAGAGCAGCATTAGAAGACTAATCGTTATTAGTCTTACTAAACAATCTCTTATATGATTCCTTAACTTGACAATATTCCTCTTTATAAGTGACATAGGTTTATAACGTGAGAGAAACAATGAATCTTTGTTTTTTAGTCTCCTAATTTATTTTGGATGATAATTGGAATCTCATATTACTTCAATCGCTTTTTATCTTTGTATGTTGGAGAGAGTTTTTTACCTTGGAGAGAGTCATCGGTTCTCTATTCTTTTTTCTTTTTTTTTTTAACGTGGGTGGTCACATGGTCACTATTATATTACAGTTCTAAGAAAAATATGTCCATCCATTATTATATATATTAGAAGAAAAGGATGGATAAGGACTCAAATTTTTTCTTTCATTAATAGCTCCAATATACTTGTCGACTTGCTCATCGGAACGACATGGCATGCGCATGAGTTCACATCGACTGGATCCACAAGTTACGTATTTGCAGGCAACCCAAAGGTTAATCTAATGTACGAATGACATGATCAATCTTGTCTCGAAACTTAACTCGTGGTAATCGACCGACACGACCAATTCAAGTTGACAGGCACGTTTGTTTCGTGAAGCTGATGCAGTTGATGCTTTCATGGATGCAACGGTATACGAATGATACCAAACGTGTCATATCGAGGAGGGAGAAACGTCATCTTCATTGGATGATGGAGAAACACGTCAGTAAGTAGTACATGCTACCACTGTCATGCCGGTGAACCACAAGTTTTTTTGACTTCGGGTTGCGCATGTCATATCAATAAGTAGTACATGCTACCACTGCCATGCCGTGAAACACATTTTTTTGACTACGGGCTGCGTATGTCGTATCATAAGTCGTACACGGTACCACTGTCATGCCCGTGAAACACAAATGTTTTGATTACGGGTTGCGTAATGTCATATGATGCGTATGTCATATGACTATCATATTAATGCGTAGATGATCAGTGTTGTCCGTCATCTTGAAGTTGTAGCACAGTATAAAGTCGCACCCCTTCCTCTTCCCCCAAGACAAGCTCAAGTACTATACCCTTCCTCTCTTACACTTATTTGTTTCCCAACTCATAGGCAATATGCCGGCCACCAACGACGTGCTGAAGCTGACCGCAGAAGAGGAGGAGGAGGCGTGCGCGCGCGCCCTTCAACTGTCGTGCGGCGCCGTCCTTCCCATGGTCCTCAAGGTGGCCATCGAGCTCGGCCTCTTACAGATCATCGTCAAGTCTGGCCCAGCCACCCCACTGAGCTCCGAGGAGATTGCCGCCCAGCTGCCGAGCGAGAACCCGGAGGCTGCAGCCGCTTGGGTCGATCGGATTCTCCGCTTACTCGCCGCCAACAAGATCGTCGGCTGCGTCGTCGAGGTCGGCGCCGACGATCGCCGCTCGCGGAAGTACCGCATGGCACCCATCTGCAAGTATCTCACGGAGAATGAGGATGGTTCTCTAGCTAACCTGCTTCTGATGCATCACGATAAAGTCTTCCTGGATTTATGGTATTATTCTCACTCGTTACTGGAGAGAGAACTCACTTGGTATCAGTAACAAACGCTGAAGTTTCTGATGGCAGGCACTACCTGAAGGGTTCGGTCTTGGACGGCGGCCTCCCGGTGATGGCCGCCTACGGGATGTCGTGTTTCGACTACCAAAGCACCGATCCACGGTTCAACAAGATATTCAACGAGGCCATGCGGGGCCACACCGCCGTTATCGTAAACCAACTTCTCCGCACCTACGGCGGCTTCGACGACGTGAAGGTGCTCGTCGACGTGGGCGGTGGCGTCGGTGCCACCCTCGGCATGATCACTTCCAGACACCCCCACATCAAGGGCATCAACTTAGACCTCCCGCACGTCATCTCCGGCGCACAACCCCTGCCAGGTCTGCTTATATTGATCCCTTCGACCATAAACACCAACCTAACTGAGAAGAAGAGTTATTCTCTGGTGGATCTCCGTTCACGTTCATGTTTGGTTGCAGGAGTGAAGCACGTTAGCGGAGACATGTTTGAAGCTGTTCCCAGTGGAGATGCTATTTTCCTCAAGGTAAGGATGAACTCTTCTGATCACTACAATAATTCTAATTTGGTTTGTCAAGGTAAGACGACAGGAAGTTGTAGACCCTTTACCTGGGAAAAAGATCATGACACCGACAAGTTCTTATCATGAATCTTGAGAGCAAAATCGCTAACGACGCCCGACCAAAGAGGTAAATCCAACATGACCAACCCTGTGCAGTGCAGAGCGCCAAACCCCACCTGACCGACCCTGTGGAAAGCAACCCAATCAGCCATCCTGTTGACCCACAAGTCAATTTCAACTCTATGAGATTGACATGACTTCCAATCTCTTTCCTACAATTTTGAGACTCACATACTAACCTAAAATATTGCAAAAAACACCTTAATCATTGACTTGGGTTCATTCCATGCTATTAAATCAAACATAAGTAACTACACTTAAAACTCTACTTAATTTTACAATTATAGTCATATATATATATATATATATATATATATATATATATATATATATA